GCTTAAAAGGACTAAGGATAAGCGGTGCTGCCTAAGTACCGAGTGTGGGTGCTGCACAAGTACCCCTTAAATCTAGGCGACTGGTTTCGCTTAACATCGCGCTTGATCAGATTTCAGCAGATGAGCAAGTATTTAGTTCCCGAAGCAAGAAAATACACTAGTTAGTTTAGGGGTGCCACGCTGGATTCTTAGTGATGGGGCAAGATAATGTAGAAAATAACGCGGTGCTATGTAAGTACCGTGTCTGGTGCTGCGGAAGTACCATGAGCATAGCTTCATACGTATACCGTACAAATTAAGCACTAAGGATAATGGATGTGTTCTAAGACACCGGGTGCCCTTAAGTTTAATTTGTTGTAAATAAACGGTGGTGCTTAGGTACTGTTAACGTGGTGCTGCTGAAGTACCATAAGGGTGGTATTGTGTGAAGCTCAAAGCCTCAGGGTCTCAGGATATACTAAAAATTTAGGGTCTGCCCCTCTTTTACAACTGAACCTCATATGTATCCCAAACTATTTTTGCAGTAGCAAACTTCAAATAAGCTTGAACATACGGCTAGCAGCTTTACTCCTCCCTGCCTTCCGAAGCTACGTGCATTTCGGCGGCGCGGTCTCAGTGCTATCCAAATCTTTACTCGTAAACCCGACCCTGAAACCTCAGCTTACCCACAAACCTCAAAGGGTTGGACCCTTAAGAAGGACAGTCCTGGACTGGGCGCAGACCGAAGGTGTCTGGCACTCGGAAGTCGGGCCTGAGCTGTAATTGAACATTGGAACAATTATTAGGCTCAAAAGTTGGTGTGCTCAGATGATGACAGCTGACGGTCTGCTGGATGTATTTTGTGCATACGACGCAAGAAGTAGGCGAGAAGTGGTTGATTGAAGGAATAGCGCTAGAAGATGACGTTGCTGATGCTGTTGCTACACATACCACTGCAACTATGAGTTATCGAATGCTATTGCTAACCAATAATATCACTTCTCCCTTGGCGGCGTCTGTTCAGCTTGCTCTACTGGCCCGGCATGGCCCACAGTTTCGGCAACCTGCTATTTGGTTTAGACTTAGCTTCCATGATGAATTATGATGACATCCCCGACACCGTGGCCATTGCCAGCTCTGTGCGTGGCCGTTGCCAGCCCCGAAACTCACTCCTCAGGACGGCCTGCTTGGGCCAGGAAAGCACCTGGCCGTGAGAATTCATTGATAAGACCGACGCCCAAATACGATCAATCAACGTGGCCGCACCCTGCCTTTGCTCAGGCTGGGCTCGTTGGGCTGGGCACCTGTCGTCTGATGGGCTCTGTCGGAACTAAAATGAACCAGCAGTCAACGTGGCCAGGCGGACGTCCGTGGGGACCATAGAAGGCGCCGCAGACGGGCTTCGCGCTCGATCCTCGAGGCAAATGGAAGTGAATCTCACGACTACCGGGACATCAGATTTCGGCGCCTGCTCCATCTTGCGCCTCTTCGGGCCAGGCCCTGCTGAGGGCTTACTCGGCCGGTCCTGGGCAGATTCAGCAGTGTTGAAGGCTGAACAAGGATACCAGTCGTTGTTTCGAGCCTTGCTGCTTCCAGCACCAGATTTGCGGGCCTGCAAAATGTGACAAATGATTGTCGTCGAAATCTCAATTCTGATCGAGGCTCGAACCAATTCTTCCAAGGTCACATCTTTCTCGATGGCCTTTCAGTTTCAGGCAGCGAAAGGCTATATATATGTAGCTTGTGCAATAATTCAATAGAAGCCGGTGCCTCTTCCATCGGCATCGGCGCTGCTTTCGTCTTGGCAGGCAACACCTTTGCCGGGGCCGCAGCCTGCCAAGCTCGGGTAGTAGAGTCATATAGTCGTTCCGTTACTATGATGTGAGGCACCTTGGGCTGCTTCGGATCCACCTTCTTCCTGGGCTCTTTGGCTTGCGATGCCTCCCAAGTTGAATTCTTGAGATTTTTTTCGCAGTCCTTTTCCCACTCTCTCACTCTCTTTTTCTCTCTGAGCCTGAGTCTGCAGGGCTTTGATCGTCGCGTCCTTCTGCAGCAGCTCCTCCCGCAAAGCCGTCGCCTCACGGCTTTGCTCCCTTATCTCCTTCTCCTTGTCCGTGAGCTGCCGCACATGCTCCTTCACCAGCTGAGCACGCCGCTCCTCCGCCGCGGCCTGCTTCTCCTCCAGCATCACCTTCATTTGCTGCAGATTGTCCGCCGTATTTTTCTCCAGTCTCCTCTGGAGCTCCGCCCGGCCTGCCTCAGCCTGCCCGTAGAGCTGCTTGTACTGCCCACTTTGGCCCAAGTTTGGCAAGCTGGCCAAAAGCTGGTTGTGGGCAGTGGTCACCTGGAAGTTCGCCGCCTCGAGCTGGGAGATCTGGTCCTGGAGCAACTTTATCTTGTGGCCATGGTCCGTCTCCATCTCGGCCATCTTGCCCTTCAGCTCCGCATTCTCGGTGCAGGTGGTCTCCAGCGCTGCCGTCATCGTAGCCAGCTCGACTTTGACGTCGTTGAGCTTCTCAGCCATGCGCTCCCAGGATCGTCCCGCCTCCCTGCTGACCTGGCTTGGCCTGTTTGGCCGTGAGCCCCGCTTCACCGGCTCGGCAGCACTCATCATTGCCTTGGGCTCTTGCGCCGCTAGCTTCGCCGACGCTTCCTTGGCAGCAGCATTCATCTCCTCCTTGAGCTTTTGCCCTTCCTCTGCCCACCGCCTCGGCGGCACTGGAGGCGGGCCCATCTCGCTGTTCATCTTCGGGCCTGTCGGCTTTGCTGCAGCAAAACGTGGAGGAATCGTCTTCGGCGGAGTCAGAGCTCTGGGAGGAACGCCCTCTTTCTTTGCCGGCGGAGGTGGTCCCATCATGCTTCCCTTCATGCTACGGTTAGCTGCCACGTCGTGCTACTGCTGCCGCTCATGCTGCTATTGAAGAGTTGCCGTGCCCAGTGCTGTTGCTTATGCTTGGCATCGTCGCCGTCTGATCTGTGCTTGCCTTACATGCTCTTCTTCTGGAGCCAATACTGAAACTCGTCTGGAAACTGGCGAGTCAATAATTCACGACTTAAGCCTGCTGAATTGTCACCACTGTCCAGCTTCTAGTCAACTGTTCCGCACGCTGTTGATGTCCGAGGCATGGACCCCAGCTTCGGGCGACTCGGCCACGAGCCTGACTGGCCAGTTCAATTTCTGATGCTTAGGGTTTAGGGTGTTTCGGGTTTAGAGTTTAAAGTGTAAACTCCTGCTGTGGATTCGGATGATATTGCCCTCGGCTTTTGCGGGTTCGGGGTGTGAAGGGTCTTCAGGTGCTGACTCAAGTACCTGAGCTATAGGTGCTGCGAAAGTACCTTTGAGGTCGAAGGTTCGGAGGCCTTGTCTTGTGTCTCAGTTCAACAGGCCTTGGTTATTGGGATTTTAAACTTGAGCTCTCCGTATAAAACTCCACGAAAACCCGAAATAAACCCTGAACGGCGATAAATGGATTTGAACTACCACAGCCAGAAACCCTAAAGCCCGTAAATGGACAAAGCCGAACAATCGAAATCTAACCTGTGGCTCCAAAACCCTGAATTACATTAGGTACTGGTGCAGCACCTTCCCCAGTGTATAAACCACGTGGTACTTCGGCAGCACCACAATCCCTAAAACCTACAGCGCCAAAGCCTAAACGCCAAACCCGAAACACCCTCAACCCATGCTGCGGGTTCATTCGAGCCCATGCCTCAGGCATTGTTAGCTGATCATGGATGTATCCACGACTCATACTGCCGCACTGTCGTCCCGAAAACAATGGGTCCTATGCAACACCTCCCGATTCTTGTTAGTTGTTCCGAAAATCAGCTGATGTCGCCTGGTTTCCGAGGCCTGGGCACTTCGCTTTGGCCACAGTCGGCCACGAACCTGGCTCACTGTTGCTCAAGTGCTGGGGCCGCGCAGGTTTTAGGGGTTGTGGTGGTTCGGGCTTAGGGTGTTAATTTGGGGTTTCGTTTAGAGCTCTTGCTGGGGGTTCGGATGAGTGGGCTTGGGTTTTTGTGGCTTTGGGGTCTAGGACCTCGGACATTCAGGTGCTGACTCAAGTACCTGGGTTAGGTGCTGCAAAAGTACCTCTGTAGTCGAAGGTTCGAGGGCCCAGAGCATGAGTTCAAGATTGCTGAGGCTTGGGATTTTACTTTCTCTCTCTCTCTCTCTCTCTCTCTCTCTCTCTCTCTCTCTCTCTCTCTCTCTCTCTCTCTCTCTCTCTCTCTCAAAGCTTGCTGATCAGGGACTCTCTCAGGTACTTGTGCAGCACCTTTCGTAGAATCATGCGGTAATTCGGCATCACCACAATCCCTGAACCCCATTAACTGCATTAACTCCTCCTTCGTCAGTCCTACAGTAGCGGTCCGAGCAGCCTGACAAGAGAGGACTTAATGAAACTGAGTATTGATTCGGTGAGAAGAAACCAGCACTGCAGCAGGCTGCACCGTGGGCTCGCCTGCCTTGATGCTCTGTGAGGTCGCTCGCCTGCAACACAAGGCGCGAGGAAGTGGGCTAGACAAGGTCCAACACGTAACTTCAAAACCTCATTACGATCGACAAACTTACAGCTACAGATATGAATCAGTAGCTCAGAGGAGGAATCAGTGGTCGATTTCTGCAGGCCCTGTCGGCATATCTTTCGGGCGGCAGCATTCTACCACTTATTGCAATTTTGGTTTGGAGAACTACTTATAGCCTAAGCAATAAGTAGTGGCGTTCCCATCATGTTTCTGCCCTGGTCCTCCCATGCATGGAGATTCGTGCCCGTGGCTCTCGCACTCGGCCTTTGGATTGCACAAGACACTGGCTTCAAGAGATACTGATACTTAATGGTTGTGAGGCAAGCCCTTGTCACGGAAGGTAGGCCCGACCGATAGGCTAGGCCAGAGATGAATGAAGAGGCTAATAGATATGGATCAATCGCTGCCAAGGTAAACAGCACAGTAGCCTTGGTGCAAAACAAAGACTCCTGCAGAACTAGCTAGAAGCCCCTTGATAGTTTCAGTTTCTCACGATGATGTTTCCACTGGGTCGCGCAGCACAGCGCACCGACAAGAGAGCTTTGCTTGCCGAACTCCCTGATTATGCCGTGGCTCACAACTTTGGCTTGGAGCAGCAATCCGCTGGGTCGCGTGACGACCACCAAGCATTGGACGCTGGCATCCGCGCTAATGGGCTCATGATCCGGGAGACGATCGCGGATGGTGATTGCGGGTTGCACGCCATTCTTCTTAACCTTCAGCGGTTACGGATTCAGACGGAGCCTGCAGCTGGCATCTTGTCCCTTCTTGAAAAGAAGGGTTTGGACTCTGCGTGCCAGGCACTACGCCTCAACCTAGTTATCTGGCTGAGGGATCATCAGGCGGAGGAGCTGATGCCGGATACCAGTCTTTCTGACTGGGTGCAGATGGACGGCTACAGCAGTTTCAGTGCTTATATGAAGCATATGAAAGTGGCCAAAACTTGGATTGATAGTCCGATGCTTTATGCAGCATCTGCTGTGTTTCTGCTTCAATTCGTCATCTTCCTGGACGACGGTCGGGGTCATTTGCTGGCCGCCCAGGTGGTTCAGCAGCAAGAATCGGGCCATGTAGCATTGATGACTAACATCGGGAGATGTCACTTTCAGGCATTGCAGCCGCTTCCTCCCGAGAATTTCTCTCTATGTTCAAGCACTGCAGACGATTTACGGCTGTACGTGCCGGAGACACAAGATGATGCTGAGTCTGCTGAGGACTCTGCATCGGATGCGACGGATGGAGAAGCCACCCCTGTGCCTGAACAGAACAGTCATGCTGAAAAGACAATTCGAATGTGCCAGGCACTTATAAACTGGGACCCTTTTGCTTCTACCTGTGATCCCCAGCTTCCTGACCTTCTGAAGTCGCTGGAGAATACCGATGAGCCATCGGAAGCATTGTTGCAAACATTGCAATGGAGGGCCGCAGTCAAACTTCTGCAGCATGAGGAGTTCGACAGAGCAGAAGTTGATCGATCCTTCCATCTGGAACTGGCAAGGATCAATGTCCTTAAAAGGACAACCCCGGCTGGACAAAAGATGTTATACGTGAAATCCCGGACTTTGGGGCCCAAGCTGACACTGCCAGCCAACAAGAAAAGCCTGGTGCCTCCTTGCCGCAAGAACAGCACATGCCATACCTGTCTAGACCCCTTCCGGAGTTGCCCGAAACTGGTCTTGCGTTGGCGAAAGATGTGGTACAGCCTGCCGAAAGCGGACAGACAGGAACGTCTCGAGCGGTTTTTTGCAACAGCGAAGCAGCAGCAGGAAGCGGAAGGACAAGATGAATTCCGAATGCCTTTCAGTGTTTTCGGACAGAGCGTCTGCAGGGATGCGTTCATACGCATCACAGGTATCCATGCACACACGCTTCAGAGAGCTCGATCGGCTGCTGTGGCTGGTGTTTCGCACCAGTCCGAGATCGCTGCGTGGCGATCGCGCAGGGCACCGGCCTACCTCGATTGCAGAGCCTGGCTTCTCGATTATGCCCGTATCCACGCTGACACCAGTCCACTGAACTCCAATCTTTGGTTGCCCTATGCCCGCAAGCACTTCTTCTACTGGACATACGTCAGCGACTGCACCTTGGCATTCATGGGATAAGGCAATAGCACGATTAATGTGGCAGTTGCACCTGTGCATGCAGAGCCCGTCATCATGATATTGTGTATGGTCCGGGATGGAATAGAACATGTTCTCTGATCTTAGCTTCAAAGTTTCATGCGACCTTGCCATGCATCGGTCTAGGCTTTTTGGTGTCATTGCTTCTTTTTCGGCTTTGCTAGTTGTTTGCGCGAGATTCACCCTAGCACAGGATAGAAGAGAAATCGTACCGAAACCAGCACCACAATAGTCAGTCGTAGCGGCCCCGACCGCCACCGCAACAACAACCACCAGAAAACGACGCACAGCATCTCAGGCAGACACCAGCAGAAACCATTGGAGGAAGTGGCGGGCTTGAAGTACTTCCTCAAGGTTTGGAGAACGGAGCTCCCGTGGATAAAGCGCCGACCTACAGCTGGCCCCTTCACCCACTGCGGTCTGTGCGATTATCTGAAGTGGACGATGGCCCGCTGCTCGGACAGAGGCGGCCGCGAGAAGCTGGCGGGCATACTTGGGGAGCACTTCCAGTTTCAGGCTGCGCAGAGGGTCGCGATGTCGCAGATCTTCAAGGAGAGTGAGGCGCGCCCTGATGAACTGATTGCAGTGGCATGGGACAAGATGGACCAGGCGAAGACCATCGTGCCACGTGTTGTGTCATTGGCCAACACACAGTTCATGAAAGGCGGTGCTCGCCTGGTGGTTTCCTTGATTGGCGTTCTCGCACCCTGTCTCTTCAAGCAACCCCTGCTGTACACCATTCTGGAAGATCAGGTGCACGGCGGCGACATGGTGGCTAGTTTGATGCTAGATGTTCTCGAGGAAGCTGTGGGCATCAAGGGGCAGCTGCCAACGAGGTTCTTCATTCAAGCCGACAACACTGTCAAGGAGACGAAGAACACGATTGCATTGTTTGCAGCGGCGTGGCTACTGATACAGCTCAAAGGCACGAGGCTGACCTGCATTGAATTTGGCTACTTAGTTGTGGGTCACACCCACGACTTGATAGATGCCATGTTCGCATACATCTCGAAGGCTCTGGCTGGACGCGACTTCTACAGCGTTGATGAGATGATAGGCATTCTGCAAAACAGCATGAAGAATCCGCCTTTCTGGAAACACTTGCGCGACATTTACAGCTTCAAAGCTGCTCAGCCTCACAGCCTTAGCAGCAAGAGGGTGAAGGGCATCTCGCAGCCCAATAATGTGCGCATCTTTTGGGGTTCTGATGGCAATCTGCTTGTCCAGTCCAAACATTGGCTGACTTCCGAATCTTGGGGCGAAGCGTTGGTCCTGTTGGATCAGACAGAGGTCACTCGAGTGGGCCACCTGTATCCCGACATTGTGGAGCCTGCATGGGACGAATCTTTCTTGAGAACTTCAGAAGGTTTCTTTCAGAAGTTGGAAGACTTGTTTCTTGGCGTGAGATCGGAAAAGTTGTCGGTTGGTATTGTTAGCTTTTGTGCTTGCATTCAATCTTTTGCAGCAGGGCCAGGTTTGTTCAGTATCACCGTTTGGCCCTCCCTCCGAAAGCCAAGGTTGTTTGCAGCTTCGTTTTCGACGGATGGTATCCAGAAGTGCCGAGCCTTGTTGAGACACGAGAACCCGTCCTTCATGCCGTCAGGGCGAACACTTGGAGACCGCGTGATCGCATTGCGAAGACGCATAGACTCCAATCCGGCACGGCCAGCAGCGAGTGGCTTCTCAGAAGGCCTTCGAAAAGCAATGGCAGCTGCGTTTCCTGGATCTTCAGCAAGTGTCCGCGACGGGAAGACTGGACTACTCACAATTGCCGGGGCAGAGAGCTCGGACCAGATGGGTTTTTGCCAAGACGAGCTGGAAACAGGCATGATCGTGCTCTTCTCATGCACGAGGCATGCAGACTTGCCGTGTCGCGTCGGCAAAGTGCTCCGAATTCTGCGCGAGTTCGGTTCTGACCCCACGGCTGTTGTGGAGACTTGGCATCCTGTAGTTAATCCAAGCAAATATGATCGCGTCCATGTTTTTGCTTCATGGGCCCCAGCTGGCCGTGATGGAGCTGCCGAGGGCTCGAAACGCAAACGAAGCAGGCCAGAGCTACCCTTGCGCACAATTCCCCTGGGAGATGTTCTTGTTTGGCCGCTGGATTTGGAAAAGAAGGAAGATCAGGAGCAATCGGACCAGAGCGGCAAGGTGCCCTTGCCGGCTTTTCATTTCATGCGCGAGGTGCGCATGGTAGATGTGAGCCCAAAGCGCTTCAGTTTCAGCAAGAGAGGGCAGGCCTTCTACCGAGAGGTCGTGAAGCGCACTGCGGAGTACATGCGTGCCGGGGAATAAATTGCTTGATGCAATGTCAGATTTGGTTTTATCAGTGCGTGCAGATGAAACTACATAACAGTAATGATCTGATCTCCCCTTTGCTCCTTGCTTCAGGGTTCCCGGCCTGGACAATCGTGTATAGGAGCAGCCCAAGAGACCTGCCGCTGAGCAAGTGGTGTTTCTTCAGTTTCGCAACGGCTGCTTGTGGTGAGGTTGCCTTTCTTGTTCCTGTGGGTTTATGGGGTCAGAGATTTGAGGTTAGCCACTTGATCAGCGGTTCCTGTGGGTTTATGGGGTCAGAGGTTATTCATACTTTGAGGTTAGCCACATGATCAGCGGCATAATCATGTCTTCAGGTAGCCCATATGCTCCGATATAGGTTAAAATCAATCGATCTATTGATTTTTAAGTCTTTTCAATCTTCTATTGAAAACAGACTTTTCGACTGAAAATCAATATCGGCAAAATGAGGATCTATTGATTTTAACCCACTTCCGCGATTGATTTTTCTATTGGTTCCACGCTTGATTTTTCTATTGATTTTTATGCTAGCCAAGAAAATTTCTATTGATTTTACAGGCGACCAAAAATGTCCTCTATATATATATATATGGCAGGTTTATAAGACAAGAAATAGATTCGGTGCCTGGAAAGGCAGGACGTTATTGTTTTGTCTGGAGAGACAAGAAATCTATAGACTCGGTGCCTGGAAAGGCAGGATGTTATTGTGCTGTCTGGAGAGACAAGTGTGTGTCTGGAGAGACAAGTGTGTGTCTGGAGAGACACCAAGTTGTACCCAAACCCTAACCCAGTAAAAGCGCCGAAACCCTAGACCCTGAACCTTAAGCCCTGAACCCCACACCCTGAAACCTAAGCCTTGAAACCTGAACCCAAAACCCTGAACCCTACACCCTGAAACCTAAACCCTGAAACCTAAACCCTGAACCCTAAACCCTGAACCCTACACCCTCAAACCTAAACCCTGAACCCTAAACCCTGAACCTTGAACCCTGAAGGATCCATGGGCGGACGCTGAGAATGATCCATGTGCGGGCCACAAGGAGGAGAAGCTGGTAGATCAGGACTACGATGGCATGGCTTCGGAGGCTTTTTTCAGAGATAATGCAAGCTTTTTCAGGGTGTGCAAGGAGTGTGACAGGATGTCTTTTGTCACAGAATTCGGACATGAGACTAGAGAGAAGCCTCGAAGGTTGCATGGTCAAGTCATGCAAAGGTTTCAGGGGTGCCTCGAAAGTCAGAGACCTTTGGAGACAAATGCACCGTGTCTTTAACTTCAAAGGCCACAACGGCCTTTGAAAAGGCTCTCAAGGCACCTAGGAGATGATGATAGCTACATGAATGCAGATGTTGAGGAGTGTTGTTTTGTGGAGTTTCTAGCAGCTGTGATGTTGATGAATGTAAATCATAAAGATGTTGGTGATTGAAAGGTGCCGAGCCTCCGTAGAGTAGCTTCTTTTGCATCCTCATGCGAATTTCGCATGAAGGGATCGCCGAATGGCACAACGAGGGGTGGAGTCCCGCGAGAAAAAGAGAGGGAGAGTGTGTGTGTGCTGTTTTGCAATGCTTTGAATGCCTGGACAGGCAGGTTGTGCACGCACCATTTTTTTGTGCATGCCTGGATAGGCAAGCTGTTGCACATGCCTGGATAGGCAAGAATCTGTTGTGCCTGGATAGGCAAGAATCTGTTGTGCCTGGATAGGCAAGTTGTTGTGCCTGGATAGGCAAGTTGTTGTGCCTGGATAGGCAAGTTGTTATGCCTGGATAGGCAAGCTTGCTTTGTGCGGTGCCTGGACAGGCATTGTGTGTGTGTGCTCATTAAACAAATAACCCTAAAACCCCAAACCTAAACCCTCAAACCCCTAAACCCTCGACCCCGAACCCTCAACCCTTAAACCCGTTGGGGTTTTGTTTGTGTGTGTGTGTTTTCACCATTGGTGTCTGGATAGACAGATGTCTGGAAAGACAAATTTGTTGTAATGTCTGTAGAGGTAAGCATGAAACCTTTATCGTCTGGCCAGATTTCCTATGTATTTTTGTTCAATCACTCATGAAACTTTTAGTGTCTGGATAGATTTTTCCGAAAGTCCCAACGTCATGAAACGTCATGTGTCGTCTTGTGAACCCCACTAAACGCCATGAAACGTCACAAGTTGTACTCATGACGGTTTTGGCGTCACAAGTACAACTCATGACGAATTATGGACGCCATGAAACGTCACAAGTTGTACTCATGACGGTTTTGGCGTCACAAGTACAACTCATGACGAATTATGGACGCCATGAAACGTCACAAGTTGTACTCATGACGGTTTTGGCGTCACAAGTACAACTCATGACGAATTATGGACGCCATGAAACGTCACAAGTTGTACTCATGACGATTCGTGATGTTTGGCCCCAGATCTTTTCTAGAAAATCTGCACGCTCCTTTTATAATCCAGCCATGGCCGTGCAGTCCAAAATGAAAAGGCCAGCAGCCGCACAGGCCGGAGATTAGGAAAATCGTTTGATTTTTGATTGCACAAAGAAAAAACAGGAGAAGAAAGAAAACAAGAAGCCAAAAAGCACAAAGGATCCCATGAAGAAGCCAGCAGCCAAGGACGAAATCTCTCTCTCCTCTCTCTCTCTCTCTCTCTCTCTCTCTCTCTCTCTCTCTCTCTCTCGCTCTCTACCCCGAAAAAAAACAAATTAACCCTCAACCCTAAACCTTCGACCCTGAACCCTTAACCCTTAATACTCCCTCTCTCTCGCTCTCTTGCTCTCGCTCTCTCGCTGTTTCTCTCTCCCTCTCTCTCTCTCTCTCTCTCTCTCTCTCTTTCTCTTTCACTCTTTCTCTCTTTCTCTCTCTCTGCAAACCAACCAAGAAGCCAGATCTCCCTCCATCCCTCCTTTTATTTTCTCTGTACATGTCGCTTTCTCTTTCTTTTTGTTTTTCTCTTTCTCTTTCTCTCTCTCTCTCTCTCTCTCTCTCTGTCTCTTTCTCTTTCTCTCCCTCTTTCTCTCTCTCTCTCTTTCTCTGTCTCTCTCTCTCTCTCTCTGTCTCTCTCTGTCTCTTTGTCGTTATTTTTCTTTATCTGTTTATCTGTCCCTTTCTCTGTCTCTCTCTGTCTCTGTATCTTTCTCTTTCTCTTTCTCTTTCTCTGTATCTTTCTCTTTTTCTCCCCCTTTCTCTCTCTCTTTCTCTGTCTCTCTCTCTCTCTCTGTCTCTTTGTCGTTATTTTTCTTTATCTGTTTATCTGTCCCTTTCTCTGTCTCTCTCTGTCTCTGTATCTTTCTCTTTCTCTTTCTTTTTCTCTTTCTCGTTCTCTTTCTCTTTCTCTTTCCCTCTCTCTCTGTTTATCTTTCTCTCTCTCTCTCTCTCTGTTTCTCTTTCTGCTTCTCTCTCTCTCTCTTTCTCTTTCCCTCTCTCTCTGTTTATCTTTCTCTCTCTCTCTCTCTCTGTGTTTCTCTTTCTGCTTCTCTCTCTCTCTTTCTCTTTCTGAACCGAAACCAAAACCGAAACCTAAACCACACCAGGGTCCCGAAACCCTAGACCGCAAATGCAGGACGACGAGACCGAGAAGGAGCCGGAGAAGGAGCCGGAAGAGGAAAAGGAGGAGGAGGAAGAGGAGGAAGAGAAGGAATAGACACCCTAAGCCCTAAACCTCAAACCCTAAATTCATGCACGTACTATAGCTTTATCGAGTGTCAGTGTTTGATAACAGGACTTTGTCGATTCTTCAGTGTCTGGGCAGACACGACATATATAGCTGTATGTATAAATAAGTATATATTTATGAATTCAGGAATTTGCTGAAAATTGCATGCCTTGAATGGCTATATACATGATAGGTATATGTTGTTTTCCACACATGGGAGTGCCTAAAACACACTTCCGCGATTGATTTTTCTATTGATTCCACGCTTGATTTTTCTATTGATTTTAACGACACTCTGCGATTGATTTTGTCGCTATTGAAAAAAGCCTCTCTGCGATTGATTTTGGCCTCGTTTCAATCGGCGCTTGAAAAAATCAATCGCGATTGATTCCAACCAATATTGGAGCATATGGGAGACTGCCCCCGTGAGTCTCGCAAAGACCGTTGGCCAAAGAAATTCGGGCCCCAAACCCTAACCTCGAAGTCTGACCAGGGCCCCTATTTGTGGAACAAATCGCCGTTTGACTTCTGGTTCGTGATGAGTTCAAGCCTGGAAGCATGCTGCCCGATGCTCAGGCACTGGCGCAGACATCATCTTGCAGGCCTGGTCAGGAGGGCACTGTTCGTCCGAATCACTAGTCTTATAGAAGAATGTGACAGAGGCTCTCAGCTGCTGACGGCTTTTTCGGTTTCACGGTATGTGCGCGTGCATTAGCGGCGTTAGCTGTATCACTGGCTTCCGGTCTCTGAGAGAGCTAAGTCCGTCGTGAAGAAGCACATGTTCATTTAGACATTCAACACGGCGTTTGCCCACGTCGAGGCTTGGGAGTGGCTCACGACCTTACCCTTGGCAGTTGAGATACCTTTCTGGAATAGCTTCTCGCAGATCTTCGCCAGGTCACCTTTCTTGATCGCCTTGTCTTTCAAGACACTGCGGATGACTCCTTTAATGACTTTGCCTTCTTTGCCTTCCAATCGATTCGGCTTGCCACCCAGCTTGGGAGAGCCCTGCATAGTGACCTTCATGGACTTCTGCAGATTGATGTCTCGTCCCTTCTTCAAGCGAGTGACAGTCTCACTTCTGTGAAACTCCGAAATCGATCCAATAAGCTGCCGGACCAGTGTTGTGTGAGGAGAGTCGTCTTCTAAGAAATGATCAGGGTTGGATGCAGAGATAGCAGAGAAACCCATGTCTCGCAGCAGGTTCAGTGCCAATTCCTGCACCACCACACACCGTGCCAGTCTAGAGACATCTTCGAAAATAAGTTTGTTGATGTTATGCTCCTTGGCATAATCCAACATCTTTACGAACCCCGGCCTTTTCTGCACAGGCGTCGTGCCCGAGACGCCGATATCCTCGAAAAGGCCAGCTCGATTCAGTCGAAGTGCGCTCCTTTTCGTGTACGCTCTGATGACCGATTCCTGCCTCTGTAGACTAGTTTTCCCGTCCCCTGAGTTCGCCCTGGATGACACGCGCAAGTACGCGACAGCTTTCATGGCTTCACAACAGCCCCAGCTTCCTAAATATTATTCCATGCTAATGTATTCAACTCAATCGCTTGCTTGAAGCACGCTAATTTCCTGTAACAAGTGAAGTCTCCTGAAGACCGCACCACACAAAATTAATGAGGCGCAGATAAACTCTTTAGGAAGATGTCAAGGCTGAGCCAGATTCGCAGAATGCTGGGATTGTATAGTGCTCACACTATGAACGCGATACCCTCAGCCGCAACCTAAATTACAATGTCCAAAGCCTTTGCGAACATGTACATGAATTGACTGCAGGAGCACAGCCGTGGTGGGAACTCAGGGCGTAAAATACTTTAGTAGGTGTGATCGAGACGTATGAATGCCACGGTCAGCCCCATCACACCCCACACCCCCAAGCACGGGAACGGAAACACGAATGGTGACCATGATGATGCGTGCGTAGACTGCACGTGCGTGCTTGACACTGCGCAAGGCTACCATGCACCACAGCCTGCGCCAGAGGCAGGGACACCTCACCGCTTCAGAGAGCCCGATCGGCTGCTGTTTCTGGTGTTTCGCACCAGTCCGAGATCGCTGCGTGGCGATCGCGCAGGGCATCGATTGCAGAGCCTGGCTTGTCGATTATGCCCGTATCCACGCTGACACCAGTCCACTGAACTCCAATCTTTAGGCCCGCAAGCACTTCTTCTACTGGAAATACGTCAGCGACTGCACCTTGGCATTCATGGGATAAGGCAATAGCACGATTAATGTGGCAGTTGCACCTGTGCATGCAGAGCCCGTCGTCATGATATTGTGTATGGTCCGGGATGGAATAGAACATGTTCTCTGATCTTAGCTTCAAAGTTTCGTGCGACCTTGCCATGCGTCGGTCTAGGCTTTTGGTGTCGTTGCTACTTTTTCTGTTGGTTTTCCACTCTTTCTAAATATCCATTGTCGTCCATCTTGTTTTTGCTGCTCCTCGTGCACTTCTTGTTGTCGCAGTCGTTGAAGCTGTCTTTAAGCCGTATAGTCTATAGTTAAAAACCCCAGTCCTTAAACTAATAGTAGCTGCAACATGAACCCATCAGGGTGTAGGAATAAGGGTTTGAAATTTGTGCTGTAAAAGTACCACCTATAGACTGACAGGGCATGGACTCCCACTGGTAGCGTCGGACAGAAAGCGCGGACGTCCGAATGGTTGCGTCGGACAGAAAGCGCGGACGTCCGAATGGTTGCGTCGGACACAATGCGGACGTCCGAATGGTTGCGTCGGACACAAAGCGCGGACGTCCGAATGGTTGCGTCGGACACAAAGCGCGGACGTCCGAATGGTTGCGTCGGACACAAAGCGCGGACGTCCGAATGGTTGCGTCGGACACAAAGCGCGGACGTCCGAATGGTTGCGTCGGACACAAAGCGCGGACGTCGAGGTCGCACGCGCCCCAATGGTTTGGGACCTTCCAGGGAACTGGACCCCGCAAGCTGCAGGGTCCAACTCCCTGGCGTCCCGTGCGCAACGCCGGGGAGTTAAAGTCCGACCGGAGTTCATCTCCCTGGAAGCGGGCTGGTCCTTCCCGGGAGATGATCTCCGGTCGGACTTCATCTCCCTGGCGTTGCACGCGCGACGCCCGGGAGTCGGACCCCGCAGCTTGCAGGGTCCGGTTCCCTGGAAGGTCCCTCGACCTTCCAGGGAACCAAGATTGCAAATGGACCTGCCCACCGCCCACCTCATCATCCTGTGTCGGACGCAGCGTGTGCATTCCCAAGGGTATAGCGTCGGACACAAAGCGCGGACGTCCGAATGGTCGCGTCGGACACAAAGCGCGGACGTCGGAATGGTCACGTCGGACACAAAGCGCGGACGTCGGAATGGTCACGTCGGACACAAAGCGCGGACGTCCGAATGGTCACGTCGGACACAAAGCGCGGACGTCGGAATGGTCGCGTCGGACACCAAGTGCGGACGTCCGAATGGTCGCGTCGGACAGAAAGCGCGGAAAAGCGCGGACGCCCCAGTGTAATTTCTCGCACCGTCCTCCAGCATCGATGCTAGTACTATGGTCCCGGTCCCCATGCCAATCTTGCCAGCCAACACCGACTGACGTACCTCACTAGCTACAGGAAGGTAGGCGTCTATACTTGGTGCCTTATGCCGTAGTTTAAAACCCCGGTCCTCAAGCAATAATCTGCAAGCCTGAACCCAATAGGGCTTATAGGACTTGTAAAGATAATGGTCACATTGGTGCTGCACAAGTACCACTTTATACGGTGCTGGCAAAGTAGTACCTAGATTAAGGCGGACCCCGAGTGCTAAAATTTGACTGCTGCAAAACTACCGACCAAGTACCTATGCTATGACGGACTCCAAGCGCTAAAGCTAAAATTTAACTGCTGCAAAAGTACCACTTAAGGTGCCGACAAAGTACCCTTGCTAAGACGGGCCCCAGCGCTAAAGTTTCAGTGCTGCAAAAGCGCCCCCCTCCTGTCCAGGAATCGGCTTTAGATATGATACCCTTAATGTGGCCAAACCTGCATATCCTGAGACCGATCTGCTGCCTCATGTGCGGAGGTCTGGTCTCCGGCTACCTTGGTGGCGGCTCTGGCCAGTTTTGGAGAGACTTAATGCGAGAGTGCAGGAATGCCGCTGTTTAAGTGGACTACACGTGCCAGTCTCCAACACTTGCTTGTATGCTGTCGCTGTTTCGATGCCTGCGCGTATGCTGTAATAGCATGAAGCGGTTGATCGTCTTTCGAAAGCTGCGATCTGGTTGATCGACTAGTAACTACATTCTCAGATCGGATTCATCAGTGTCAGTTCGGATTCTAGGGCTGTTCTATTGGTTTGAAGCACATAGTGATCACAATGGCATCAGAAGACTTGGCACCAGCATTGGCCCGCCAAACGCCAGCGTGGGCAACCGAACTGCTGCAGTTGGCTAAGACCTCCTTCGTCAAGAACGATCCCAAAAATTGGGAGGAATGCAAGGTAGACGGTGACTTCACGAAAGAGGTCCCCCTGTGGGTCCTCGACTTTGAGGCCATGCCGATTCCGAACGTCTTTCCTTTGTTGACGGCGGTGAAGCACGCTAAGGACCAATGGTTCGGAGACAGATCGGATCAAAGCTTCTCCTTCCCTCCGCCGGGGATGGTCCTGGAGGTCGCCAAATACAGAAAGCAGCTGACAGATTCGGATTGCGGGAAACTTCAACGTGCAAATCTGGACATTGTATTTTTCGCGTGGTTGCTGAAGTTCAAGGAGGTGTCGGAAGCAAAAGAAAGCAAGTACGTGGCCATGTTCAGGAAGGCTGCGCTGCGCGTCCTGATGACCGTGCGGTATGTCGAGAATGAGGCTACGAAACTTGCGCGTGCATATCAGCTACGCGAGGATGAGGAAAAGAATGCCACCATTGCCGGCCACTCTTTGCTTTCAAGGGCTCGGGAACTGAATTCCATTCAGGAGTGTTCAGTCTAAAGAAGTTGCCGTGTTACAGTCATTATGTTTGCTGTGCAGTCTTCGAGAATCTAAGCATTCGCGAGGAGCATCTGCTGAAGAATGCTTCAAGCGGAGCTGCCACAAACCTGGTGGACTACATGGCCCAGCACAAGATTGTGTATGGCACTTCCGATTCGACGCTTTCGGTTGGCACCATCCGGCTTCATCTCCGAGTGCTCCGTCGCCTTTCCCTGGCAATGGTGGACAGCGGCACACCGGCCTACGAAGGCAGTGCCTTGTATTGGTTTGACAGGAACGAGGAACTTTGGGGAAGGAAGGGCATCCAAGTGACTTTGCAAGAAAATGCAAGAAATTTCGATGCTTTTCAAGCAGCTCTCCCCAACTTGGATGACCTGCGAGATGCATCCATGAATTTGCACATCTTGCTTCTTCGTGGCAACAACATCAAGCTGAGCGGCAGGGGCATTGGAGATCTGGCCCGAGCTCTGGTACTCTATTCCAGGGTTCCAGCAGCCCTCCTGCCACGCTTCGAGAAGTATGCTGAGTTGCTCAAGCCCTTCGCCTCCCTTCGCGAGTTCCATCGGGAATTTCCGGTTGGAATGGAGGAAGGGCTGCCCAAACCTAAGTTTTAAACTGATTTCGATTTTGCAAGCTTTAGATCCGGACGCAGGAGAACGGCTCGCCAGCTGTGAGGGACATCACCTACCCGATGTTTGCCCAGGAATCAGCGGACAAACTGACCACTCAAGTCCTTATTCCTCTCTTCAACTACAAAAAGCACGGCGCCTTGATGGGAGGTGGCTCTGCCCTCGGCGTGGTGTTTGTAAAACAGTTGCTGCCGGAACTCGAAGCAATGTACGCGCAAGAGCAAGCTCGGCAGTCGATGGCGCAGGGCATCTCCTCTGTGTCCGCGGTTCCCCCGGCAGATTCCCAGTCGGAGGAGCCGGTGTCTGAAGAAGAGGTTGGCGGAATTTGGGGTTAAATCAGTGGGCCCGTCATGTCAGCTCTATAGAGTGTTTTGTCTTTGGCAGGCTGCTGCCTTAAAAAAGGCTTTCGACGAGAAGCAGATGGAACTCCTGAATTCCATGGCACAGGAGTTCCTGAACAGCAACGTCCTGCTGTTGAGCTGGACCAATCCTTCGCTCATGGATGCTTTGTGTGGGCATCCCCTCACAAAAGATGGAGCCTCCAAGCTGTTCTGCTGGCAGGCAGGTCTGGACGCGACCACGGGCCCCACTGGCCGCACCTCGATCTTTCGAATGAAGGCGGCCGCGGACGAGACCCGCATGGATTCTTCGATAGACATGATGGCGAAGCTCATGCGGGATTTGGACAGTGGGCTCTTCTTCAGTGGGCGGAACACCCTGATCGCCAAGGACCTGAAAAAGAAGCTTCAGGCCTTGAAACCCAAGGTTGGGCTGAAGGAGATGCAGATCAGTCCGGACGAAGAGGTCCTGTTGCGGCTACTCCATGGGGAGGGACGGAATCAATACGCTTCCCTGGATCCGGTTCTTCGATTGCAAGGAAAGGTCAGGAGTTCCACTAATGTTGGTAACTAGTATTCAGCCCGTGGATGCCCAGGCAGAGATCTACTTCCATATCGTCAAGACTTCCAAATGCTGGAAAGATCGACGCCCGGCCGCCAGGCGATTTGTGGCTGGAAATACCGCTTTCCGGACCATGCAGAATGCCCCCATTTTAGAGACCGCCGCTATGCACAAGGTGTCGTCCAAGGAACGGGATGCGGTGTTCAGGAACGTCATCGGCTCAGATCGCTGGAGCCCTGGAGTTGGGAGAAAGAGTGCTGGCGGAGGGGCAGCCTCGGCGACTACGGCCGATCGCGAGAGCGAGTCGGAGGAGGGCGGCGAGGAGAACCCGCTTGCAGGCTGCACCGATGCTGAGGGCAACGTGGTGCTATTCCATATGGAACTTCACCCCAAAGTCCTCGCGCAGCTGCTCTGGGAAAATCAAGCACGCGTCTTGATTGACTTTTCCCCTGGAAGTGCGATGATGGCGCGTACGGCGCTCTCCATGGGCGTGAAGGTTATCCTCATCGGCCTCAACGATGCCCACGTGGGTGTTCTGCGGAAGATGTTGATCCAGTTCATCAGAGCCAACATTGATGCTGACATGGCCGGATTTGCCCCCAGCGACAAAATGGAAAAGCTGCAGCAGCTGAAGCCGGCCAGACTCAAGCTGCACGAGAGTCGCAGAGGCATCGCCGAGATGAGCCCGCCTTTGCCCGGCGCTGGCAAAGCAACATTCGAAAAGACCATGTCTGCTGCGATCGATGCCCTCCAGACGGGTGCCAACTTGCCGCCGGCGAAGCGGCAGCGGACCGAGCCGAAGCCAGCACCACCGAAGCCTTCGACACCTGCGGTGCCGAAGCCCAAGCCGCCGGCTGATCCGAAGGCGAAGGCGCCTGCTGCAAAAGTGCAGCCTGCACCTACACCAGCAACTGGTTCCAAGCGAATCTGTTGCTGATTTGCTGAACATGTTTAGCTGAAACCATGTGTGACGCAGAAGGCTGTCAACCGCGGCTTATTTTCCATGAGTGTGGAAGGGCACACTCATTTCTCGAGCTTTGCTGGGGTCCAGTTTATAGAGGGGCTCAGGGCTTTGGCAGGGTCCAACGTCGGAAGTGTAATTACATCCTTCATCTCGGGGTGTGCTTTGAGCTCTTGGACGCAGCATCCGTGAAAGAGGCACTGGGCTTTTTGCAAGCTGCCTGTACATGTGGGGAGAGACTACATGTGTAGGCTGCCTCCTGTCTTGCAGGCTGCTAAACAACAATTTGTGAAATCAGGCAACAACGGCTTCGATACTATATCTAGAGACAGAGACCTTCTCAGCCTGCTTGCCGCCGCTCCCAAGCACAGACCGTATCCCTGGCATGTCGCCTGAACCTGGGAGCCGAAAAAAAAGATGAGACATGTTGCAGCGTTCTGTTCCAGCTGGTTGCAGCAGTTGGCCCTTGCATGAGTGAGCTTGGGATGTTCGTGCGTGTGCCAGGCGAGGAAGCTGGAGCTACAAACAACAATGAGGCAGGCTGCAGCTTTCAGGCCATCCAGAACAGTTTGCACAAGGATCTTTGAAGTTAATGTCCTTCACTATTCACTGCTATCGTTCAGTTCTACTCGTGCCTAGGAGCACTAGACCAGCTTGCTTTTGCACGTGGGCTACTTGGTCTAGGGATGAAGACTGTGCAGAACGCTGGCGGCTCGAGTTGTTTTGCTGCGGTCACTCTTGAGTTTGTTCCGCTAGATCTCAGGGCCATGTTGCGATGCTTGTTCGTGGCTGCACTGAGCGCATGCGTGAGCGGTGGTGCTGATTTCCCTGACTATGACTTGGAAACCCTGCAAGCGCGAGGGAATGCTTGGAGGTATCCCAGAGCCGTTTTTGCCGATTGGACGAAGCCGAGCATGACGAGGCCCGGGCCAGAAGAGAGACCGTTCTTATGGACAGTGCCACAGGCCGTGAAAGACGTCCTGCCCAAGAGCATCCGAAGGATCTTCAATTGCCCAGAGGATGAACCTTTTCAGGTTGTCCGTAACTTAGACGTTGCGGACTTGTTCGCAGGAACAGCCCGGATTGCTCGCTGGGCGGAGCTGCTTTCCCTGAAAGCTGTGGCTCTGGACATGTCGTACAGCGATCACCTCAACCTCTTGGACAACATGGGGCTCGCTCTGGCCATCATCGCCCTACTCCGGGTCCGGGCAGGGGGCTTATGTTTCCTCGGACCACAGTGCTCATCCTGGATATGGTTGAGCAGGTCGGTTACGAAAAGAAGTCCCAGGGACCCGCTGGGAGATGCGTCCATACCGTGTGTGTATGACGGCAACAAGCTGAACCGAGTAGTTGGTTTGCTTGTGACTATCGCCTTTTTGATCAACGTGGAGTGGGTCGTGGAACAGCCGTCATCCTCTCTCTTCTTCCACACACAATTGTGGCGGGCGATCTTACGGGAGCAAAACCCCTGGCAACGCTGGCTTAACTTGAAGGTGTTCGGTCACGCGTCACAGAAGGCCACGCTGCTCATTGGTACACAGAGGTCTCTGGCTTCGATGGGCAAAGAGTTGAGCAATCAGGCCAAGATCCGGGGAAGCCGGAAGTGTGGCAAGCCCTCGCCGGCCAAAGCGAAGGCGAAAGCGAAGGCAAAGGCCAAAGCGAAGGCCAGCTTCAAGGTCAAGGCGAAAGCAACAGTCAAACGTGCACCAAAGGCCACGGCAGCGAAGACTCCCAGTGCAAGTGGTGGACCTTTTTTCGTTTCCTACAGAAGCTGGGGCTCTTTAGAAAGCTTTATAGACTCTCTTATACGCACCCGATTCCCCGCCTCCAGGTTGGTTTGCTTAAGTGGAAACTCAAGGCGACGGCAAGAGGAAAGTCACTGGGGACCCCGAGAAGTTGAAGGAATCACAGGAGTACCCGGTGAAGTTTGCTCTTGCGGTTGTGAAAGGGCACTTTCCAGAGGCTGCGGCAGCCTCGAGATAAGGTCCTAGCTTGGCAATCCGAGTTCTGCTAGATGCTGCTAGCTCTTTTACGCATGGTGTTTCTGCTCGCATGCAAGACGAGACATTGCACGAAATTCTGCATCATTATTGCTGCTTCTCTATAAAGTGACTGATTCCTAGCTGTGCTGGCAGATCTGGCAGATATCTGAGCCTGCGACATTTCCGGGTAGCCGTAGTAAAAGGGGATCAATCCTTGCTTCGTTCCGGAACAATTATTTTGACTTCAAGGATCCCTCAGGCAAGCAGTCCAGCGAGCGGTCAGTTTCTGCTACAGCCTTGTTATGGTTGAGACTCACTGCTGGATCTGTTACGCTGGGGTGTCTGGCTGTTGGTTGCTTAATAGCATGGTCCGCTTAAGCTTCACTCTGCTGCTTCTCAACTTACGACACTAAGCAGACTTTCGCCAAGGGCCTGGGGTTTGGGTGCGCTCATCCTTATCTGCAGCTGCGCTTATGTGTCCATAAGGGCAGCAGTAAGTGAGTGTGACAGGACCACTGCAGCAAGCAGCCTGCTCCCACACTCTACATGATGGTTCTGTCACTGTCAGATTCCGTGTTTGATTCTGGGGAGCCCGGCTGTTAGTTTTCGATCATAGTTCAGGGTAGGCCTCCTATCCTTGCTGCTCGGCATGATGCCTGGTTGTCCATGGCGGTTCGAGAAAAAGTCATGCCTACGCAGGATCAATCGTTCGACTTATTGCCTAGGCATTAAGTAGCCTTCCACGGAGCTTTAACAATCAGTAGTTGCAACAAAGAAACAGATAGAAACACGAGGCCAGGCCTTTCTTCTGCCAGCTACTCAAAGCTATGTTACGCAACTTATTGCAATAAGTAGCCCGTCTTGCTTACACCACTGTGCCTGCGTTTTCACCTCGATATATTGCAGGCGAGAAGCTTGGGGGCCGGAGACTCGCCGGGTCCTCGTCAATCTTACAGCAGGATCACAACCTCGGCGCAAGTTGTTTTGGTTTGATAAACAGGTTGTTTATGTTTGGGGTTAGGAGAATCTAGGGTCGTTTAAGAGTTTAGTATTCAGGGATTGTGGTGATGTAGAAATACCGCATCATTGTTGGAAAGGTGCTGCAAAAGTACCTGCACCAGGATGTTCTAATTCTACTTTGGATTGTAAGGTGGTTCCGACGGAGTGTGTCTGTAATGCATGTAGCGCATCAAAAGAGATGATTCGGGCCGTCGGCACTCAAGTCAAGAAGGGGGTTCCTAATTTTTGGTTTAAATCCCCTCGTGTAATTTCAATCAACCCTCTTAGAATCTACATCTAACATAAGCAAGAACCGTCACAACTCTTGACCTTTAATGCTGCTTCTGCAGCAAAGGTGCTTGCGCAGCACCTAGAATGGTACTTTTGCCAGCACCACTGCAAGTCGCCAGTACTTATACCTATAAACCGAAACCTTTCCCTGAGAATCCCAGCAATGCCTGCATGGCCAGGTACCATGCCAGATGCTGCAGTGAGGCCCACGCCTCAAGCAGTGCCAGCTGATCACTGGACGTTTCCGTGACTCACGGCGGCACTGTTTCGAAAACCCTGCCCTCCCGTACTCTTCTTCCCGATAGTTCATTCATGTTCGAAGACAGCCTGCTATTTTCCCAGGCTTGGGCTCCAGCTGGAGCCTCTGACGCTCGGCGAAGAGCCTGGCCAATTCAATCACGCTTAAGCTTTCTGACTTGTCGGTTATAGGGATTGCGGTGTTTAGGGCTTAAGGATTTAGCGTTTAAGCTCTTGGGCCGTGATGGTTTTGCATGGATTGTGGCGTTCAGGGTTGACTGCGTTTAGGGTTTGAGTTCTCGGGCGTTGTATAGGCTTTAAGGGATTGTGGTGCTGCCGAAGTACCACATACTGGAAAGGTGCTGCACAAGTACCTAGGGCATTTGAGAATTTGTCAGGGCTTCAGACGCTTCTGTTTACAAAAAGCTTCGGAACGGCTATATACTTGCTGCCGTGGGCGTTCTGATTCAGTTTTCTCGTCAAGCCTTTAAGTCTACCATATCTGGGCCCTGCTCCAAGCGCAGAACAAAGGTACGGTACGTTTGTAGCACCTAAACCAGCTACTTCAGCAGCACCTGAAGGTCCTAGATCTCGAACCCGAAAATCCCAAGCCAATTAATACGAACCCCCAAACAGCTAGAACCGAAAAGGTACTTTTGCAGCACCTAAAGCAGGTACTTCAGCAGCACCTGAAGGTCTTAGACGCCAAGCCTTGAAACCCGAAGCAAACCCGAAACTCCAAGCAGCCTGAACCTGTCTGCGCCGAGGCTGGGCCCAGGATTGGCCTCGCGCAACCAGCGACGAGGCTGCGGCCTTGGCTCGATCTGCTGAACCCAGAGAACTGTCGGAGTTGCGAAGAAGAGTTGATTAGTGTTCGTTACGACATGTGACGCACTACTTGAGCTTGATGGCAGTCAGTCAATTTGAACAGTACGTCTTCTGCCTTGCTCCAGCAACCTGGGCCGTGTCCATGCAGTGGATAGCTGCGTGAGTGAAGTGATATGTTTTTTACGTTGGCAACACCAAACACCACCTCTAATCTAGAGCCACCGGGGAGCAGAAACAGCAGCAGGGCAGCTGACCAAACAACAGCAGCAGCGGTAGCAGCGGTAGCAACACCTTTATCATCAATAGCACAGTATAGCACAGTTAGCTGGCAGCAGCTTTGGGGATCATGGCAGGGTCAGGGAGTCCGGTCACTCCTCCCAAGAAAGCTCCTCCGGCTCCCGTCGTGGTTCCTGCCAAGACTGGGCCCGCAGTTGTGCCTCCTCGGAGGGTCGTCGCGGCTCCTACCATGCCACCGCCAAAGGTGGCCCCGGCACGGCGGCTGACTCCAGGCGAGGTTTTGGACCAGATGAACGAGAAGGTTCAGACCTCAGAGCCGAAGGCCAGAGGGCCGGAGGGCCGCGGAGCGCGGCCGGAGAGGCCTTCGCAGCAGCGAAGGGAGACCGGACGCTCGTTTGAGCG